GCAGCAGTCCACTTCTACCTCTCTGTTCCACAGGGTTCAGGCAGTGGTCACATCTTCAGATAACTATACAAGGAAAAACTAACATAGTGTATGAGTCAGACTGGAAGCAAAACTGCTTAGGACTGCACCTGATTTGAAAAAAATGTACAGCTTCAGAATCACTACAAGAAAATCTTGTTAACGTAAAAGCTGCTTTATATTGATGTTTTTTCAGAGACAGATACTAGGAAAAAGTAGGCAATACAGATCCAGGAACTGTGTTGGGCACTTTCATTGCCCATGAGTTCAGCCCTACAGTGTATAAAATGGATGTACAGCACGCACAATCTTACCCCAAATGTACGTTCAGACTAGGTACAGCCAAGTCTATGTAATGTCATGTTTTCAGGAGAGTGTTTCAGATTTAAATAAAACCATTTTGTGTGCAACAAGTGGGAAACTACACAGGAGCAAGGAACACGGACACTGTCAAAAGCACCCTTCATTTACAACTGTGTAGAGAAGTGATGTGGCCCACAAATGATCATTGTACACATGATGGTTTTATTTCAAAATTGCCATTATTTTCTGAAACACCCTTGTGCCACAAATTTTGACTTTGGGCATAGCATCTAAACTCCTGGACATATTATCCATTGCTGTTGTATGAACTATGCAACATGAGGCACCTTTCCATCTGAGATTAGCAGCTAGGGTGGCCATCATAGAGGACATTCTGGTTTTCTGTTACTCTGTCTTCTATTGATATGAAACCCAATGCCTTTCTTCAAGAGAAAAATAGAGGGCATAAAGGCATCCAGTTTCGTATCAATAGAGGACAGAGGACAACTGGACTGTCCTGTCTGATGGCCACCCTATTAGCAGCATAAGTTTCCTTTCCCATTTCCAGTAAGTAAAATAAAGCCAAGTCAGAGAGGGGAAAAGGGTAAGGAACTGTGTGGCTATTTTTACACACACACACACACACACACACACACAACACCTAATTGTTTTGAAGCCTGTTACGACAACTAAATATTGCCATCTCATGGTTCCCCTGGGTAATGTCCTCCCAGATAAAAGCAGTTCAACTTGGTGTCTGAGAGCGATTTCCTAAAATGCATCCCTGCAACCTGCTGGATCTGGCCAGTGCCTACTAGAATGGAGAGCTGGCAGAAGCGAGCTACCCAGGCTGCTCACCTCATGTTCCGACACAGAACCTGCTATTTAAAAAAATCCTACACTAAAATGAATTTATGTAAAACTTGGACCTGCCTTCTTTCAAGAAAGGCAACCTAGGAGAAACAGGAGTATGGCAAGATTAAGTAGCACATTGCCTTGCTTGGTACACATTGATCAAAAAATTCTAAACTCCCAGCTAAAGCAGATAAATCTCAGTCCTCTGCCTCTTACACACACTATACCTTATTACCCATAGTATTCTCATCCTTGATAGATTTTCTTTCTTCTGTTATATTGCATTATAATTTTAGGCACTTTCAAAGCATTTAAACATTAAACTCACCAACCCACACAATACAGCTGTCATTCGGTTAAATATTATTGCCCCTCTGATCTATATATATATATATATAGGAACCTCCTGACTTTGTCCCTCTTACTGCACTGTCAACATACATTGACAAACTGAGGCAGTGCAGTAAGAGGGACCACAGAGGGCTGAGTCAGCACTATGAGTTGGAACTGAAGTTAGGAGGTTCCTGGGCTTCCCCACACATGTGCAAGATCATGTTAGATCAGCATAAGTATTTATAGCATGAAAGAGAAAGAAATTCTGTCCTGAATTGAAGTATTAAGACAATTGCTCAAACTTTCACGCTCATTTCATTGACCCATGAGTTTTCACAGATTAGTTTCATGACTGAGTAATGGGTGCTTAAAGTTTTCCAGACAGTAACAACCCACTTTATTTAAAGAACAAAATAATGTGGTGTAACATTGTTAGTTCCTCTAAGGGTTTGTAAGAGGGGATGTTTTAAGACAGTTTTTCCCATTGCTTTGTTGTGAGTGCCCTTCTACACTATATCTGGGATGTAAATACAGAGTAAAAATATTGTAATCCTCCAAAGGCAACCGTATCACTTCTCTAGCTGAATGATAGCCTGTGAGATCTGTTCACTTACTGCTTCTGACAGTAATGTAATTTTAATGTGAGTGATGTCATCAGAACAGGGTGTAGACAGGGAAGCTTGAATTGGTAAAGGGCTATAGGCCATATTAGGTCACAGGTTCAGTCCTTCCCATATTGGGAGCAAATGCAGTGCTGCCTTCTCTTTCTCTTGGCTGCTCTGTATGTGGCTCCATGTGAAAAGTTCTGTGGTTTTGGTCCACATACAAGTGAACAAGCAGCTGCCAGAATTTGCATTAGTCCATTCCTCAGCTGGACCATCTTGGCAAACAGGCTGAGGCCTGAAAGAGCACAGAATTACCCCTTCATTCTCAGGAATGACCTCAGCAGGATAGCACTTGAGTATAGTGGTAGAAAACTTGAGCCTGCTGTCTTGTTCTAAGAATATATTGAAAAGTGCACATCATCTTGTGGGCAAGCTTCAGTTGTATAACCTATGGTGCAAATTTAAATTGCTATTAAACTAGTACAGACCCCTTTGTGGATGATCCTTCAGTATAAGGAAAACTGAAACGAGGCAGTCATGAGGCTGTTACGTAAACAAAAATAAGAGTGCTCATGCAGAGGTAGCAGTTTAAAAATCCACTTAAACCTGTTCAACTTTTTCATATGGACATGGCCTGAAGTCCCAGATGCTACCACTTTGTTTCTATGAACGCTGAAGTCATTAACATACAACTAAATAAGAGGAAAACACTCCTCCCCCTCTGTTCTCATTTATAGCCTACTAAATTTCTTTCTAATATGTTAACTAAACAAACTGCAGAACACTTTCAACCTGGGACAGAAAACAAGTGAAACTCACCTAGCTTCATTATAAACCCAAAATCCAAGCCAGAAGTGTTTACTTTTGAGTAAACTTGTAATGAAGTATGGTTTTATGTAAAAATTATGAGTTCTCTACTGCATGTAGATCAAGTTAATAGAATATTAATAGTAGTCAACAGAATATTAACTGAATTTCATTTAGGCACTGGAGTCTGAATTTATCTCCCGAATGTCATTCTGTACTCCCAACATCATTGATTAGCACAAATCTTTTCAAATTGGAATTACTGCATTTAAGGCAACAAATTATACCATGTAATTTATGTCTGTGAAATTATTTAAATAAGCATGCGCTGGACACTTTTCAGCCCGCTGTCTCTAAAGAACTCTGTAAGCACATTTTAACAAAGCAAAACTAGATGTTCCAGAGAATAAAAGTGTGAATGTTTCTGAAAATTGTCCTCATTTCTGTCCCCCCTCCAGTGATTTCAGATCTCTAACATGATTCAGGTTGGGGAGTTTGCTCACTTTGTTGTCCCTCCAATTATCCAGGGATGGGAAATCTCTGCTCCCAAGAACAAGAGTGGCACCCAGTGGTCAAGTGCTTTTATGAACTTGAAAGCTCACTGTATTTAGACTGTCATTAACTAGGTTTCAGAAGAGATGGCTTATATTTAAGGACACTGGCTGTATAACAAACAAGGATGGGCAAATATTCCAACCTTCAGATTATGCTGGTAGGCTTGCAGTTGTTAGCTAGGTAATACTGACAATTTATAATGAGAATAGGGATAAAAGGAGATCTGTAACAAAGCATGGAGAGAGGAAACTATCATCAACACCAGAGATTACATGAGGTATTTCTCTGGAGGACAGAGATATGCTAGCAACTGTGGTTAGGCAGAGCAGGTGAGGAGGAGGAAACAGGCAGATTTAATGAGCTTTAGTTGAAGCGCTCACAGCGCCATTTTGAAGCACAAGGATGCTGATACTTGTTAATGCAAAAAACGTTTATGAGGTGCACTGGTAACTACCAGTAGTCACAACTTGAAAAATCCATTCTCATCTGCCAGTGCTACCAGGTTGTTTGGAATATAGCATGTCTTGCATTTTTAGCCCCTGTGACTAGCACAAGTAAGTGCAAATTTCTAGCACTTGCCTTCCAAATAGGCACTTGGGATAAAAATGATACAGCATCATCTTAGTTTTCCTGTTATGCCTGTGCTGACATTGAGACCTTCGCAAAGCTGCACCAGAGAACTAAACCTTCATTTAATTTCCACTACTGCTATTCACAAAGTAAATCAGTTTCATCCCAGTTTGGGTAATCTCTGAGCATAAAGCAGTAAATGGAGCTACCATATTTAGGGGACTGGGACCAAAAAGGTAAGAGTTCTGTAGGAACTCCCAGAACAACACCTACAGGATACTGTGGACAAATGGCAGTGGCTAAAGTTTTGGTCCTAAATTAGTCAAAGGCAGATGTGCAGATAAGCACTTTAGTAGTGTCCAGAGATGATGCACATCTTTCTCTCTCTCAGCAGAAGGGGAAAACAGGATTTTTACTTTAATGCTGGTTCCTGGCTTGTAGTTCTAGTCCTTGGCCTGTCAAGTATCTGGCAAGATTTCCAAGCTTTACTGATGAGGATGAGCACAGAAGAAAATTAGTGTAAGAATGAAAATTGGGGGAAAATAAAAGCAAGGTATATGGGGTAGAAGAGGGTCAGGGTAAAGAGGAAATATTGAGAACACTACAGGAAGATAAAGATTTTGACATTATATAGGAGAAAAAGCAGATAGAAAACATTTGACAAAAATGTCCTCACACTGATTAATGGGTTTACTAACTCTTAGTGTTGCTTACTGTAATATTAACAGTGAAGAACACTGGAGGGGAAAGCTGGCTTTCTAACTTAATGGGCGGTTCTATGCCAAAGGGTCTGTGCCTATTCAGTGTTTGAATTGGCATGTAACATTCTTAGTTTTTCCATTTACCAAATCAAGTGAACACCCCCGCAATGCATGACTTGATCATCCAGAAAGAAATACCACTCCATATTAGATCCTAGTGATGTTTGTAAATGCGATTATTCAACATTTCAAATCTCTTGTTAAAAATGTTTAATAAGACTTAATGTCAGTACAGTACAGGTAATCAGACCTCTTAAAATTAGGTTACATGTTGCCGATTTTTAATGAACAGTGCACTGATTTAATCTCTCCGTAGTTGGACAGTCTCCTCTTTAATCCCATCTTTTGTGACAACGCAGATCTGAAGTGCATCACCAGTGTATACATCTCTCTCAGCCGCAGAAATAAAGACATCCTTAACTAGCTGCAGAGCCTTGTCCAAGGACAATGGTACATGCTCCACATTTTGCATATTCTTGAAACCAACCTAGAGAAAAAGCAACACTGAATTACCTTTAGTTAACTAGACTTTTAAAAATCTATGAAAGACAGAGAGTCCCTTTGGTTTGTAAAATATTGTCTTTAATACCCAGAACTGTTAGGCTTAGGGTCATACTGAAATTCTAAAACAGACTGATCTTTTTGGAACACTGAAATACTGGCTGAGGTATTGACGTTGAATGATATAAAAATTGACTTTGGCTGCACTACTGGAAAAGCACTAGCAATGCTACCATCCCTTCTAGTAAAGGTTGAACAGGGCATAGAGCTCTGGATAGGACAACTATGGTTTCCTACTTCCAAAACCATATATACAGAAAATGCAACAAATTCAAAGTGGTATACTGATCCACTTTTCACAGGATCTTCCAATACAAAAGGTTTGAAAGGGCTATGAGTGCCACAATGCTACATGCTGGATTGCATATATGAGACTCTCTTTCTGCATCTTCTGTAGTTGGGGTGACCAAAAACGGACAATTTCTTTTGATCATCAAATCAGATTTTTTAATTAATTGTATTAAATGAAAATGCATTTTAAAAAATAAATTCATTTAAAGTTAAACCTTTAAAGGCCTAACCTTACTACAGTTATTACATAATACTAATAATGTAGTACAAGCTTGCTATTAACATTTTGAAAAATGTCAAACTACTGAAAGTTACTGGCTAATGATCCAAAAGTGATAAATCAGTTTTTGACCATCATAACCTATTCTGCAGGTGCAGACAGAATAATTTATTCAGTTCATTTTAGCTCGGTTCAATGACTGGCTTATTCAAAGATGACAAACTGGTTCGGAGTTGAGAAAGCAGGAAACTAGCTGAGATACTGATATAACAGTTTTAAAACTGTAAGGACATGGTAAGATAAAGCAAACAGCTCAGGTTCACAAATACAAATAATTCCTTTGTTTAATAGATCAACTAGTTTTAAAAGCAAAGCATGTTTGATACATAAAAATAAATTATCCAATGTAGAGTATTTTATTTTTTTTTAATTCTAGTTTTGTTTAATGGGCTAGAAATTGGAATTCAGAGGTACCTCTAATAAAACTCAAGTAAAAAAATCAGTGTAATACATAGATTATTCATAATCCCCTAACATTATAGTAGGTAAAAATTAAAAAGCCAAATAAAATGCATGTTAAGCAATATAATTATTTAAACATGTATATCCCTCCTGGATATCGGTCCTATCCCTCCTAGACAGCAAAATGTAGTACCAATATTGTTGAAAAGGTATGCTTAGTTGTAAATCAGCATGTCTTAATGGTTACCAGCGAAAAAGAATCAACCATTCTTTAGGAATATAACCAAAGAATACATATGCTAAATATGATTAAGTTAAGTTATATTTTCATACTATATAATTCTGGTTAAAGTTATCCTGTCTTGTTTGTAGTGCTTTAAAATGCTTAATTTGCCCACCTGCATTTTTTCTACAAGTTTAAGTTTCAAAACAATCTCTAGGATTTTCATATTTAGTTAGATTGTCCAAAACACCAATCTGATCTTTATAATACATTCTAGCACTATTATAAAGAAATCATGAAAAAAAATTATTAAGAAGAAATGAGGCACACTTCAGTTTTCTGGATGTGAATTAAATGTCTTTAGAGCTAGTAAAATCTCAACTACTTTACCTGGTTGTCAAGCAGTGGCTGTAGCATAGCACTTGCTGACCCCCCAGCTTTGAAGGAGTCTCTCTGGTACGAACCCACTGGATCAAAGCTATACACAGCTCCCTTCCCTTGGAGAAAAAATGTTTACATAACTGTCTGCCACGTAATAGTTATGGTACATAGAAAACAACAGTACACATACCCTACTTTTAGCATGTACTACTTCGCAAAACACCCCAAGATGACATTAAATAACTTGATCTCTGTATATATCTTCCGAGGATAAAGCCAAATCTGTTTCTTGGTCAAAGCCATGGACTATACTGTCCCTGAGGACACCATGGCTACAGTTCAACCAAGCCCTTGAAAAACTTTAAATCATATTGCTTCGGAGGAATGTCTTATTCAGCTATTATTTTCCTGTGGAGGTTATAATTTAAAATAGAACTTTAATTTTCCAGGCCACTCAAAGAAACATGCTGTTGGAGCAGCACTTGCTCTGTTTTACAATCCTCTACCACTGAGAGTTTAACAGCCTGGGACGTGGTTAGCAATAATAGTGCAATAGACTCAATGAAGAACTTTTTGTAGGAAAATTAATTACATTGTTAAGTTACTTGTATATATTTGACCCCATATTTTAAAAACGAATCCCATATTCAAATCTGTTTCCAGAACAGCCTGAAAGACAAGCAGTATATTTCATTCCTACTTAAAACATTAAGCATGAAAGGACAGAAAGGTAGAACCTGTTTTATCAAAGTTATTGTTTCACGTGATATAAAACTCTACTTATGCAGATGATCTCTAACAGCTCTCAGTTTCTTTGAGTTAATACATAGTCAAACTGTTCAGAGAAAAACAATGATATATCAAATGCCTTGTGAAAACATAGAAACTGAACATGACTATCCATCAGTTTACCTGTTTCCAAAGGGACTAATACATTAAGATAGCTTTTTATATACTATTCTGAGATCCTCAAATATTGTAAGTGAAGAGCAACATATTCTACGTAAGTACAGAAGTAACACAACTGTCTCTATGCTTCTCTACCAGTCTGCTTCAGTCCTGAAACAACTAGTTTTCAGCTCCAGAAATGAGTCCCTCTCCCTTCCCCGCACACCATAACTTAAGTCTTACCTTCTTCGTCAAGTCCACCGATTATGTTATAAACATAGTAAGGAAAGAAGCGTCGAGAATACAGGATTGTTGACAACATTGCTGCAATAGCCCCAGTAGTCATCGTCTTGTTGTTGGAATGCTTGTACATCTACAATCATCAAGTGATGCAAAACGCAAGCAGGTTAAATACTAAAACAGTAGTGTATATAGAGTGAATTCTAAAGATTATTTTTACAGAAAGAAATTTTCATACTGTGCTTTATTAAAAAAGGAAGCAGATGGACAAAGCAGAAGTTGTGACTGGAATGCATACAATGATTGCTAAAAATAATCAGTCTAAAAATGAGTTTGTCAAAATTTAAATGTGGTGCAATTCTTTTCTTGCCTAATGTATCAGAAGTTCAGACACCAAATTTGTGTCCTACAAGTTTTGAAAGAACAGATATCATTACCTGGTTATAGTACTGTTAGGGTATTAAAACTAGCTTCAAGATTTGCATATTCAATATTTTTAATTTTACTCAGTTAGAATAGGAAGCATTGCATTACACTGGACGCAACCAATGTCAAGAGAACATCCGAATCAAAACTATGACCCTTTTTAATGCACTAGTTACATTTTAAGTTCTTCATTTGGTCACATTATTGCTCTATTACACTTGACCTTACACTTGTAAGGTTCTTACAGTTTTTGTTGTTGTGTAAAAAAAAAAAAATTATTAATATTGTAACTACCTTTAATCTTGCTTCAATAATTTTCGTAAGCGTAAGGCAGTCACCATGAAAACCACTGCATCCAATGACTGTTTGGTCTGTTCTGTAAAATGCAAAGTTTGGAAAATGTTTTAGCATGCCCCATGACTACAAACTATCATATCACCACTAGCATAAAATCATTTGAAAAACATGGAATATTATTATACGTAGCTTCCTTTAATGCATTGCATCAGCCTGTTCAGTAGGAATCTGCAGACCCCCAAAATGGAAACCACTCATCTAAGTGGTTAAAAGTGAAAAATTGTAAGATAGGAGAAAAAAATTCTAATCCCACTTCTGCCAGGTAATTTGACGGGTATGCGATTTAACCAATTTGCCTTACATCCAGATTTACAGATTTTACCAGTGCTTTGAGGTGGAATAGAAAAAAAAAAAAATAAAAATACAGGTATTTAATATTAAACCATTATTAATTAGAGGGAGACAGACACTTCAAACCTAAAAGCATTTACAAACTCAACTATGAAATATACCATTCATAGGATGTCATCTAGACAGCTGTAGAGCACAATTAACTTCAACAATCTAAAGATGAAAATATTGTCTTAATTCATGTTTGTCAGTATTACCAAAGCTACCTATTTCAATACAAGAGATGGTGCCAAGAAAACCTATCTTGATACTACGAGGAAGCTACTGATATGCTAAGGAGCTAGCCAGGAGAAACCTGAACCCCTGAGAACTGTGCCAATGATAGCAGAGGGCTTGCCTCTGTAGCTAGTGGCAGCCTAGAGTGGGAGTGAGGCATTTAAATGCAAGTAACAATAAACTTGCTGAAACCAAGGGGACACTATCCAGCTGCTTTGAAGGAAGCATATGAAGAATGTGAAACAAGTTTGATAATGGAATTGCTGACAGGTTCCCTGATGGTCTCCAGTGAAGTAGACAGCTCTGAAGTGCCAGATGGTCTACTGAAGCAACAGTGAAATAGTGACATACCTGGGGTATAGCCAGCAGTGGTAGCACTTGTGTCCCAACTACCAGGCATCCAGAAGAAACAAAGCCACTTGCTGCAGAGCTAAGCACTGCTACAATTAACTGAATCTTCTCATTGGTATTCATCCAAAAAAAATAGTCTGTCTACTTAGCTTGCATTTTTAAAATCAAGTCCAATTTGGTATCGAAAAACATCCTTTGTCAGTGAAATTCAAGGATTAGAGTCAAACTAAGAAATATGATCTCAATTATGGCATTACAAGAGAAAATGCAGCCAGATTGCTTTCTTACTGAAACATCCTTTTGCAAATGAAAATGCTAGTCATTGACCCTCTACAGGTTACTAAGTTAATCAATGAAACAGATCTTATAAGGAAGTTTTTACTTTGCCCAAGATTAAAACTTACAGTTTGTAGCATTTGGGACTGTCCCGGCTATGAATTGCATAACCTTCACTCAGTCGTGTGTCTGAGGCAACGACAGAAAAGTCTTCTCCAGCAATTGCCAACACAGTCCTTTAAAAAGTAAATCAATATAGAATTACAATTCCTAACATAAACATTCACTCAACAGGGAGGAAAAGGCACACCAAATGAGTGGTTCTCAGTCTGGTTTGAAAAGATTTGTCAGTGATGGAGCAGCTTTCATTCTACAGGAAGTTCTATTTCTTCCTACATGGCATAAGATTTGTTTTCTTTTTCATTTTTTTAAGAAATGGAACAAAAAGCACACTCTGTTGCAGCTCATTTACATCTACATGCTATGTGGGATGTGTGTGTAAATTCAGTTATAATTAAGTTTACAGAAATCAGAGGAATTCAGCAGACTAGCAAGGTGACAGAAGCTTTTGGTGAGCACTGTAACCAGCCTAAAAACTGGCAGTGATTCAACCCTAATAATAGAAAGCCTTAGGGCTGGCAAGATGAAACAGCCCATAGATATGAAGCAAATCTGTAATTAAAGGAGCAATGCTCTCACATTTCCCCCCCCATATTCTTTTCAAATAGCCAACTGTCATAGCTGCTGCATGTGAACTGTGGGCTTATGAACTAGGAAAGCTGCTTGGCACCATCTGCCTTAAAATGCAGTCCAAACTATGAAAATGCTTCTGGACCAGTCAATTACTGGTGCATCACGCTAAGAACGTAAAGTGCCATGCTGGGTTGGACCAACAGTCCATCTAGCTCAGTACGGCTCCACGTTCTCTGCTCGGTGCCCTCCCTTCAGAATTCTTGTTATAAACCTGTAACCATCAGTCCTGCCCATTTTCTTTTGAGGTGTCCTGGGTAATCAGCTGCCGTGCCTCTAGTGAACAAGGGAGGCTTATAGTTTTTGCGATGGGCCTAGGCCGTTTCCCTTGGCATAGCAAATAGACCTGTCTTCAACAGTGTCAGAAGTGGAAACTAAAGGGGGAGCATCAAACCAGACCTAGTGATCAATCCCCTGTTCATCACCCTCCTTAGCATCTGCCACTATTGGTTTAGAGACATCAGAGAAAACATCTACCATACCATTCAACAGCCATTAATTGATCTACCCTCCATGAATGCACCCAGGCCCCTTTTTGAAAGTGGCTGTGCTACCAGCCCCTACCACCTCCTGTGGGAAGTCAGGGTTCTGGCCAGGGGAACCCCAGGCTGGTGTGAGGTTGTTTCCTCTCACTCATCTGCTCACATCTCTGGGCAGTTTCAGGGGGAAGCTGCGGCCCAGTCTGTTAAGAGCCATGAGTCCTGGATATGGCACAAAGGGACAGAACTGCTCATAAGAGCTGCTATTTCTTGGGTCAGAGCACGGGTCCACTCTCCCTATCTCCTGTGTCACAGGACTCCTGCTTCAAGTGCACCTGGTCGCCGCCCCTCTTCCACCTCCTCCAGAACCTCCTGCTGAGGGCCTGGCTACACTGCTCCCTGCACCTTTTCTTTCACAGACTTCCCGCCTGCAGTCCCACCATGTCCCGGGACCTCCTGGCCAAACTAGCCATCTGTAAGACCAGGAAGGAGGCTGTGGTCGGGAGGAGCGCAGGCAAGTGTGGGGCCACTTCCCTGGCGCTCTTTCGTTCGCATCACCACACCGAGTGTCACTGACCGGCGTCCACAGACTCCCTCGACCCCTTCAAGGGGCAGAGGTGCTAGCCAGTGTGCTCGGTTCGGCGTCCACTTCTGATGCCTTAGTTATTAACCTACGACCTCAAAGATTTTGGGGGTCAGAAGGGACTTCAGTAGATCATCCGTCCTAACCCCCCGCCCGGCAAGCCATTCACCTCCCCCCCGCGCCTCTTTTCCAAGCGGGGCGGCGCCTCCACCGCTGGAGGGGACCCCACGCGGCCGGGGACAGGCAGGGGCGGCCGGGGGAGGGGCAGGCAGCCGGGGCGGCTCACCCGCCGTTGAAGGTGTAGGGGGAGAAGCGGTGGCTCGTGGCGGCGCCAAGGCCGCAGTCCCGCCTGAGCCCGGGCTCCGCATAGCCAGCGACGAACGCAGACGACAGCATCCTCTGGTGCCTCCGGTCCAGGCCGTGCCTGCTGTCTCACGGCAAAATGGCAGCACCGGAAGCGGAAGTCCTCCCAGCCTCGCTCTTGGAGACGCTCTAGATTCGCCCCTCCAGCTCGTTTGCTCCCAAGGTGGGGAACCACCCCCTTCACAGCTATAGGGCGGCGTGCGGCGCATGCGCTGAGCTGGCGGGGCCTTTTCCCCAAGCATATCACCCCGGGGGCTGCGTTCCCTAGCTCGGGGCGGAGCCGTGTAGTAGGCTGCTTTGCCCTCCCTCAAGATGGCCGCCGAGCGGGATTCGAGGGGAGGGGGAAATAAAGGCTGCTACGGGCGGAACTGACGCATTTTGATCGCGCGGCGGTGTAGGCTGGGGTCACCATCGGTGCTGCAGCCGACGCTGGGTCCGGGCAGCGGGCGGAGGGCCCAGAGCTGAAGGTACCGGCCTCATTTCTATTCGCCCCTTCGCGCGCGGTGCGGGGCGGAGCCTGCTGATGTCGGGGCCGCGCGGCCCCTCCCCCCCCCGCCTGCCCTTCCCCCACCTGCCTGCGGCGCGAGCGCGGGGTCCAAGCGGCCGTTGGCGTCTTCCCCCCCGCCGGGCGCTGCAGGGCCCTCACCCCGTCCCCCCGTGGAGCCGTTGGGGGAGCGGGGGGAGCCCGGGGTAACGGTTCTGCCCCCCCACCCCACGCGGGACCCGCGCCTCACGCACCCACGTGGGCACACACATGCTTCACTTGTTTATAGATTAATTATTATTATTAAATAAGCAATTATTTATAAGGAAATATTATTAAATTACAAATAATAATTATAGTACTAGGTGAGCAGGTTTTCTCCATGCTTCCCTGCTGCCAGAAAAGAAACCTGGGAGTTTTCCCCCTCCCCGGCAAAGCGGTTGCTGTGGAAAGCCATACCTGCCTTCACTAGGGTGGCCATCGTAGAGGACAGTCTGCTTTTCTGTTCCTCCGTCCTCCCTGATGCCATAATGTCCTCTATTTTTCTCTTCAAGGGACCTGACTTCTCTTTCTTGAAGAGAAAAATAGAGGACATAAAGGCATGGGGTTTCATAGCAGTAGAGGACAGAGGACAACCAGACTGTCCCCTATGATGGCCGCCCTAGTCTGCATGCACCCAGCATCTGGCATCAGAGGAGCGGTCTGGTTGCAGCGCGCTGGTGTGCTACCAGCGGGCAGGCAGGGCTGGTGCGTTCGGGAGAGGGGTGTGTGCGCCATTTGGCAAACTGCTCCTTTCTCGTGGGAGTCGGCTGTTGCAGACTCTCATCTCTTCTTGTCCTCATTGCCGCGCATTTGGGTTTCATAGACTTGCATTTTTTAATAGGATAATGATGATAATAATAATTATTACTATTATAGTAGCGTGAGAGCGCACAAACACCAGCAGAGTCTCCCCATGCCTGGAGAAGTGTTTGTGCCCGAAAGCTTGCAAAAAACGATCTTTCCAACTAATGGGTTGGTTTAATAAAAGAGATCACACAGTAAGTTGTAAGAAGAATTGATAAAATATTAATATTACAGTGATAATCCAGTATTTTACATTGTTGCTAAAGGAACACATCCTAGCATTGAAATTGACTTGAGAGAATAGTGCATTGCCCAAATAACCCTGTCTGCTAGTTTTTCATAACGTTTTTTGTGCATCTTCATGGTGAAATGCCTCAGCGCTTTATGCTGGTTCAGGCTGGGGAAGGAGGTTGTTTCCCTGGTCATTTTTTGGGTAACAGGATTTTGCTCTTAAATGACTTCCAACCGCCTGGAACTCATGAACGCTTTAAAATTATGGTAAGACTTTAAAGATATCCAGGTTGTAATTATGGTAAGACTTTAAACAATTTTAAGCACATTTTGCTGATATATTTGGAAGTCTTCATAAACAATGGTTCAGTCCTGAAATCACTTGTGTGTGCAGTCCTGCTGAAACCTACGGGTCTGTTCATGTAAGTAAAGCCACTTGTATGGACAGATTTTTAGGGGAAGGGTTGTTTCTATGGCAGCACAGGTGTGTACAAAGAAATGTGTTTAAAAATGTACTTAAGATGCGGCTGAATACATTTTTAAAGGTGCTGTTACCAAGAGTGTTTTCTATCTTTTTCAGGTTTTGAATTGTGTTTTAGACTTGCAACATGTTTTTCTGGAGCTAATGTTTTTAATAATCATTCAGAAGTGGCTGAAAATCTAGTTGCTGGAATGCTTTAGGGGAAACGACTTCCTTATCGTGTGGAATTATTGTTCTTGAATTACTGGAAATAATTCTGGCCTGACCAAAGAAGTAATCAGAATCATGGATCAGAACAACAGCTTGCCGCCCTATGCCCAAGGACTGGCATCACCTCAGGTAAAAATAAGATATTTAAAAAATTTAAGTGCAGGATAAATGTCTTTGCAGAAAGGATTTCAGTTTCATGTGTAAACAAACATGAATAACTCCATTAGATGCCGACTATATAAATGCTTACAACTACAACAGCTTAGTGTGGTGATCTGCAGTCCCAGGAATATTTGCTTGATGGAAACTTGTTTGAAATTTTAGGCTAAAAGCAAACTGGACTGTCCCTTAGCCTTTTATAGTCACAACTTAAATGACAATTGACTTGAATTAACTGTGATTATTCTGAGAGAGACTGTTAATTTGAATACTTCACAGTTAGTTAATGTAGCACAATGGTTTTGGCAGTAGTCTGTAAAATCTGGGGTTTGTGTCTGGGGTTTGCTGAGAGAGAAAATGCTCAAATCCAAATCAAAACAGTCGTTTGCTTTTAGCTTTGGTAGCATTTTTAAGTGTCTCCAGTTTCTGATAAAATATTATTTCAGTGTAGTCAGATATTTGCAAAACACATCCTTAATATTTGTAAGGAAACGCATCTTATGACCCAAAATCTCACTGGCTTTTGTTTTTTTCTAATTGAAATGTATTCGAACGAGGCATTGTGGTATGCATACACTGACACTGAATAATCCTTTCCTGGTTGGTGGAGAAGAGAAAGCATTATCTCTATTTCAGTGGTTCCCAAACTGACAGATTACGTACCACCAATTTAAATTTAAAGTACCACCAGCAAATTTTTGTCATATAAAGTAATTATAATAAATCTGTTAATGCTACCACTGACAGGTTGTCTGCGTACCACTGGTAGTACCCATAGCACAGATTGGGAACTGCTGTTGTGAGACTTTTTCTGTGAAGTAAAATACAGTTTGAGGGATATTAAGTTCTTATTGTTTGGGCTGGTGAATATGCTCAAGCAGACATACTTGTTCCTAAACTCCTTAAACTTCTGTCTGATTTTTCTCCTAAACTAAATGGCATCTGGACTCCATCTGCTTTATTTTTTTGTACTTGCCCTTCTAGGGTGCCATGACTCCAGGAATTCCAATTTTTAGCCCCATGATGCCTTATGGCACTGGACTGACACCGCAGCCTGTCCAAAGCACCAACAGTTTGTCTATTCTGGAGGAACAGCAGCGGCAGCAGCAGCAACAAGCAGCACAGCAGTCCACATCACAACAAGCAACACAGGGAACATCCAGTCAAACTCCACAGCTCTTCCACTCACAGACTCTTACTACAGCTCCTTTACCAGGAACCACGCCACTCTACCCCTCTCCAATGACTCCTATGACCCCAATAACTCCTGCTACGCCCGCGTCTGAAAGCTCTGGGATTGTGCCACAGCTACAGTGAGTATACTTGGCATTTTTCTAATGGCTCTTCTCACTCTTGGGCTGAGACGCTAAGTTTTGCCAGCACAGCTGCATTGTGTACGAGTCTGATCCATCTAGATGCAGATATGTTGACAAGAGGGTCTTGCCTGGCACAGGTTCTGTGGTTTAGGGGGTACTCTAGCACTGAAGATGCCTCTTCTGCCCTTCTGTTTAGCCTCTCTGCCAAGGGGCTGTGCTGCCATAGCTGTACACGGCAGTCATATAATATAGGGAGGACTTTGAATAATGCTTCTGTTAGCATAATTGTTCTATGGCAGAAGTAAGAATACTTGCTGATCTCTTTCAGCTATATATCTAATACACACTGGGTTGCTGAGCATAATCATGTGTTTGTGGTGGCTTGGAAAGTGCATATTGTCAAATAGACACAATCTTGACTTCTTCACCACATAACCTCAGAGACTTTCGAGGATAGCTGATTTAATGCTTGAGCTGTGAGAGTCTTTAAAATATTAAATAACTACAGTTTGCTGGACATGCTTTTCCTATTTTATTAATAAAGTGTTAACACTGCACCTACAGATTTGCTACAGTAGAAAAGGGGTAGTGAGAATCTGCTAGTCAAATATAGGTGGAATTGTGCCCAGTATCCTGTCTCACCATGTCTACAAGATGAGACGAGGATGAATTTATGATCAGAAAAGAAAGATAGAATTTAGATTAGGATTTGGAATGCCTTTATTTAGCAACAAAATGGGGAGCTGTGATCCTTATTGTAATTTATAGAAAAAGTCTGGGAGGGGATGATTCTTGGGTACTTTGTATTAAAAAATAACGTTCTTTTGGGTGCAAATAATATAGAGACTCACTTAAATGGTTCATTTTTTTTTTTTACAAAAGGTCTTTATATTGTGTTGCAAAAGAACTTTTTGACTATCTTGGGGAAACAAAACCTCTTTCTGTGAACTCAGAACTTTGCTACCACACTGTACCAAAATAATCCTTGCAACCCCATCAGAGTCAGTGGAGCTTTATTGTGAATGTATTTGATGCATTCTAGTAGCCACTGTAGTTTTTAAAAAGAGAGAGAACTCGAGTGTCCTTGATGAAATATAATCTTAACCACTCTCTAACTCATCTTCAGGAATATTGTATCCACCGTGAATCTTGGTTGTAAACTTGACCTAAAAACCATCGCACTTCGTGCTAGGAATGCTGAATACAATCCCAAGGTAAGAGAAAAACTTGTTATCAATTCACCTGTTAGTACTCGATTGCTAGCAAGGGGTAAAGTCTTAAGCCTAGGCTATACCGATGCCCAGCTGGCATAGCTGTACTTGGAAAAGCCTCCTTGCAGACACAGGCTTATACCAGCAAAAAGTATTCTTTCAGATAGGCTTTTACCATTTTGGTGAGTGAGAAGCTGTAGCATGAAAAGGATGTTTATACTGGTATAACTGTC